GATCACAGAAGAAATGCTATCAATGCAGTCACTGAAAGGAACAACAACTGGAGAAGATAGATTGGAGGCAGTAAATAATTGTCTTTTGAAATTAGGAGTAGAATGGAACAAACTGGTAAATGTGATCACCGATGGAGGGCCAAATATGACAGGTAAAAATGTTGGATTGCTAAAAAGAATTCAAGATCAAGTCAGAGAAACAAATGCAGAACAAAATATTGTCTTTTTGCACTGCATTATTCATCAAGAAGTCCTTTGTAAGAGTGTTTTAAATTTAAGCCATGTCGTTGACACAGTTGTGAAAGTGGTTAATTACATTCGAGCAAGAGGATTAAATCACAGGCAGTTTATAACCCTGCTTGAAGACTTGGAATCTGATCATACGGATGTTCTGTATCACACAAATGTGAGGTGGCTTAGTTTGGGAAAAATCCTGAAAAGAGTTTGGGAATTGAAAGAAGAGATTGGCTTATTTTTGGACGTGAAACAGAATGCTATAGATTTCCCACAGTTGAATGATGAGAAATGGCTCTCTGATTTTGCATTTGCTGTTGATATCATGGGTCATATGAATGACCTGAATTCAAAGCTACAAGGGAAGGGGGCTTTTGCACATGATTTGTACAGCAGTGTCAAAGCTTTCATGAAGAAATTACTTCTTTTGTCTCGTCAGATTACGAACAAACAATTTGCTCACTTTGCAACCTTACAACAGATTGAAGTTTGTGATCAAAATGTACAGAAGTACTCATTGCAGCTACTTGACTTGCATGCCGAATTTTCACGCAGATTCCATGATTTCAAATTAATTGAAAATGACCTGTTTTGGGTGTCTTCTCCCTTCTCATTTGATGTTGACAAAGCCCCAGTTGACCTACAACTCGAGCTTATTGACATGCAATGTGATCCTTTGCTTTCTGAGCAGATGAAAACAGTGACTTCCCAAATTCTATGCCTCTCTTAATGACTGTGCATTTCCAAAACTAAAGGCTCATGCTCAAAGAATGCTTGTGCTGTTTGGATCTACATACATATGTGAGCAGACATTTTCGATAATGAAGCTGAATAAATCAAAACTTAGATCTGCAATGACTGATGATCACCTTGAACAAGTACTTTTCATTGCAACAACGGAGGCAACACCTGACTTCAATGGTCTGGTCAGCAATCATCAGCGCTGTCATTCGTCCCACTGAGTAAGTTAAATATTCTTATCAAGATACTAAACAATTTCAGAATATAATATGACATATGAACATACTTTAAAATATTTCAATAAATTACATATTGGTGCTTTGACTTGCTTTTTCCTTATTTTCAACCATTAAAACTTAATTATATTATCCTTAATTTATGAAGAAGCAACAATAAATATTAAACTGTATTAAATACATTTTTCAAACAGTCTGCAGCAGTGACATCATAGATCAGCCGATCAGGAGCAGCTACAATTTGACATGACTCCACCCAACCACCACCTCCCTAGGGAAGCCAGACGAAGCAGGATAGCTGTGATCAGACCTGGCCAACTCAACCCTACCACCACCTCCCTAGGGAAGAGTAAAGACAACGTCTCAAGAGACTAATTATTTCAACTTATAATATCGATTCTCTTCTGTTACGACAGTTACGTTAATGCACTTAAAATACCAAATTTACTGCACCATAACTCTATATTATTATTAGTAGTATTAATATTGGTATTTGTATTAGCATTATTATCAATAATAAAAGATACAAGCTAAGAAGTGACGTATTTATTTCCCCAAAATATCTATGTATGCTACTTAATATTTTACTTACATCCTATATATATAAATACAGGGCTTTATTTTGTGCAAATACAATGCATTTGCATCTATATTAAGTCTCTGGCCCGCGGCGTGTACCAAAATTCATGAAGTGGCCCGCCAGTCAAAATACTGGGTTAAGGTCAATGTCTTACCTGTGGGGGTCTGCTCAGTGAAGGTCATTTGCAGGTAAAGTAAGGGTGGGGGGAGGGGATAGGGATCGACCTTGTCATGCTGGAGGGGGGGTGTTGTTGAGGGGAGAAAAGGGGAGGGGAAAGAGATGCAGCGAGGGGGGGGGGGTGGTAATGGTGACAGTAGTAGTGGCGATGGTGGTTGCAATAGTGGTGGTGTGAGCGGCGGCCATCAGCAGTGTGGTGGTAGTGGTGGTGGTTGTCAGGACAGCAGGAACCCAACTCTCTGTTACAAACACAATACTGTGTTTTACCCCTACCCCCTAACACACACCAGGTTACTACCGCCACTACTACATAGTAACAATAATAATACAATCACCATGACTACTACCACCACTATTGTTACCACCATCACTATTACTTCTACTACTTTTGTTACAACTACTATTGCCATCACCATCATTACTACTACTACTTCTAATTTTATTTCCAATGCCTTCACTACTACCACTTTTATCAACACCACCACTTCCCGACATTTAAACAACTAATGATAATATACCAACTATTAACAACGACTATAAAACATATCACGCAGAGTATAATATTATATTTTTTGACCTGACTGAGTTTGAAGCTATCCATCCACAGGGAGAGCTACCAGATCACCTGCAGATTAGCCAATCCAGCACCTAATTTCACCTTTAGATTAACCACCCTAACGCTAATCTAACTTCATCTAGCCTAACCTAACCTTTCTTGTGAATATTTTGATAACATCCATTACTACAGCTTCAAAGGGTATACAGTATAGTCACTTTGGTCACCATTTATAGTTACAACTTTGGTCGCTTACTACACACAAATGTCAAGGTGTGTCCTGCCTCGAACAACAAAACACAGGCTCTCGTTTTTCTTAGGACCGTGAGAAGGTGTGTGACAGAAAATGGGCAAAAGAGAAAGGCATTATATTGTATTTAAGAAAACATTTATCGTAGGTAAAGAAGTGTAATTTATTGGGGGTAAAAATCTCTCTCTCTTTTCAGGGGTGGATCCTGGGTCCGACCCTGCTCCCTCCCCCGTCTTTAAAATATATTGACAACATGAGTAAGGTTACATGTGTGATATAATAATTATATACCTGATAATGTTACACTTTACTGAGGCAGGCAAAACATAGGTAGTGGTATTGATGTGTGTAGATCAGTGTCACAGGTAGCCGTACACCTTCACAACCTTACACAATGAGGTAATATGGATAATAACATAAGAAAAATAAGAAAATAAGGAATCTGCAATAGGCCGGTTGGCCTGTGCATGGCAGCTCCTGTCGAGAGTTACTACCACTCTCTATCATCCATGAATCTATCTAGCCTCCTTTTGAAACTTTCCAGAGTTCCCGCACTTACTACAAAGTTGCTAAGCTTGTTCCACTCGTCCACCACCCTATTTGTGAACCAGTTTCTTCCTATCTCCCTCCTAAACCTAAACTTATCCAACTTGAATCCGTTGCTCCGAGTCCTATCCTTCTCGGATATTATAAAAACTTTATCTATATCCCCTTTATTGATTCCTTTCACCCACTTAAATACTTCTATCATATCTCCCCGCACTCTTCGTCTTTCTAGGGAATGCAAGTTAAGTTTCTTTAACCTATCCTGATATGGAAGGTTTCTAAGTCCCGGAATCATTTTTGTCATTCTTCGCTGCACCGACTCTAGTGAATTTATATCCATTCTATAACAGGGGCACCAGAACTGAACCGCATAATCGAGGTGCGGCCTGACTAGCGCAAGATATAGTTGCAATAAGACCTCTGCACTCTTGTTACTTACACTTCTAGATATAAAACCCAATACTCTGTTTGCCTTATTTCGAACATTAACGCACTGTTTTCTAGGCCGTAGGTCTGGGCTTACAAGTACCCCCTAGGTCTCTTTCACAACTCGACTTCTCTAGGTTACTTAATATTGGAAGAACAAATACTTATGATGTATACAGCCTTAACAACATCAACCTAGAGAAGTCGAGTTGTGAAGGAGACCTAGGGGTACTTGTAAGCCCGGACCTACAGCCTAGAAAACAGTGCGTTAATGTTCGAAATAAGGCAAACAGAGTATTGGGTTTTATATCTAGAAGTGTAAGTAACAAGAGTGCAGAGGTCTTATTGCAACTATATCTTGCGCAAGTCAGGCCGCACCTCGATTATGCGGTTCAGTTCTGGTGCCCCTGTTATAGAATGGATATAAATTCACTATGTTAAAAAGCAAACAAGATTGGAAGTTTTAAATCTAAAGTGTAGATAACAAGATAAGGTCTTAAACTTCTTGCGCAAGTCAGGCTAGCACCTAATGCGGTTGTTAAGCTGTAAATTATAAGTATTTGTTCTTCCAATATTAAGTACGCTGCACTTGCTGGTGTTGAATTTCATTTGCCATTTTTCAGACCACCCCTGCAGTTTATTTAGATCCTCCTGTAATGCATTTGCATCCTGCCCTGAATTAATTTGCCGCCCTATTTTGGTGTCATCCGCAAACTTGCTTATGTCACTGCTGATCCCAGTATCTAGATCGTTTATGTAGATTATGAACAAGAGTGGGCCTAGTACTGACCCCTGGGGAACCCCACTGGTTACACGGCCCCACTCAGATTTAACACCATCTACGCTGACCCTCTGCGTTCTATCGGTGAGCCATGATTTTATCCAATTTAAAACTTTCCCCTCGATACCATGAGCCTTAATTTTTCTCAGAAGCCTCTGATGCGGTACTCTGTCAAATGCTTTGCTAAAGTCTAAGTAAATAACATCGTAATTTTCGTCATTATCTACTACCTCGAAGACTTTCCTAAAAAATGTCAGCAGATTTGTTAGACAAGATTTTCCCTTTGTAAACCCATGTTGAGAGTCGTAAATTAATTTGCTTTTCTTTAGATGCGATCGGATGCTATCTACCTCAGACTTTCCTAAAAAATGTCAGCAGATTTGTTAGACAAGATTTTCCCTTTGTAAACCCATGTTGAGAGTCGTAAATTAATTTGCTTTTCTTTAGATGCGATCGGATGCTATCTGCTATAATTGATTCAAGAAATTTCCCCACTACTGACGTCAAACTGATCGGCCGGTAATTTGACGCTAATGTGTAAATAATGTAATTCATACATTTTCAACGAAGGGAAAGTTGCGTGTATTAAGATTAGTTGAAATAAGGTCTGTAAATAGTAAAGTCCTGAACCCAACTTTCCTAAAAAATGTCAGCAGATTTGTTTGACAAGATTTTCCCTTTGTAAACCCATGTTGAGAGTCGTAAATTAATTTGCTTTTCTTTAGATGCGATCGGATGCTATCTGCTATAATTGATTCAAGAAATTTCCCCATTACTGACGTCAAACTGATCGGCCGGTAATTTGACGCTAATGTGTAAATAATGTAATTCATACATTTTCAACGAAGGGAAAGTTGCGTGTATTAAGATTAGTTGAAATAAGGTCTGTAAATAGTAAAGTCCTGAACCCAACCCAACCTCAAGACAAATTTAAGGGAATGAATCCTTCTTTCATTGGTTAGGTTAGGACAGGTTGAGTTAACTAAGGTTAGGACAGGTTAACTGAGGTTGGGACAGGTTAACTGAGGTTTTGACAGGTTAGGAAAGGCTGGGTTAAGTGAGGCTAGGACAGGTTAGGTTATGTGCGGACATGTTAGGATATTCACTTTAGGAAGCTGATTATATTGATAAATACAGCACTTCCAACATTGTATAAGGTATGACGAAATATATTGGACGGCGTAAGGAAGAAATCAGTTTATGCAAAGTAGTTTTAACAGAGGAACATACTGGACAATCTATTAAATTACATATTGAAGACTGGTACAGTTCACAGCTATACAGTAAAAACTCGCCCATAGAACGATTACTTATGGGAGTAACTTGTATATATTGAATCTCCAGGGAAGAAAATATAATGGTAGTATAGTTTATGGTGACGTGTTCATTACTCACCATTGTTACTCTCTTGTCTTGGTGATCTCATGGTGACTGGATTAGTTGGTGATCGATAATCCTTCACTGCTGTTCGTCAACTTGTCCGAGTAGAGATAAGACACACACACACACGGTATACACACTTTCTGATCGTAATTAGTATTGGATGGTGATCATCTTATTATCTGCGGGACTGTGTGTTATGTTGTGACCATTGCTATACTGTAGATAGAAGCCACAGATGTGAATTATTAATAGAAACTCCCAGGGTCAAGTCTCGATATCTGAGGATAAACGATTTTCAGGTCAGGGTCGAATATTGTGCCAACACCGTGCGCACTTTGGGAAGAGATCGGTTGTGTGGCGGTGCCGTAGCAGTTAATCCCACCTTGTCTGACTCGCCATTTTTAAGCACTGCGCCTATTTACAGTCGAATAACTCATGATTTGGGGATAAACTGTAACACGATGGGAGTGAATTTGTGTCGATAATGAGGAGGCTCGAGCGAGGCACAGCTGTGTGTGACTAGGGGTGACGTGTGCTGTGCGCCACCTGGGTGTTGTTGTTATACACGTTGCCATGGTGACCCGAAGTTGCCACTTCCCTCCGTTTTGTCTATGTCGATGTTGCTTTCGTGCTAATGGATTTCGATTAATATATATATATATATATATATATATATATATATATATATATATATATATATATATATATATATATATATATATATATATATATATATATATATATATATGCAAGTAAATTACTGTAGGTGCGCGTGATCCAGGTATATGCTGATAACCACAAGGAAAAAAGAAAACAC